CGGCTGTGAAGTGCATCGGGGCGTGCCGGGCGGACTCGTTGCCCTGCACGTGCTGGAGGAGGAGGCTGTCACATGACTTTGTGCGACGTGGGCTGACGTCCACTCACGCACAACACTGACAAACATGTATTATTTCATTGTTTATTTCCCTTGTATATCTGGTGCTCTGTGTCACAGTCACGTGTAAAAGCATTCACTAAATAAAACGGCAACCCGGGCCCGATTGATGGTTGTGCGCATCACCGGTGGGTGCGGTCTGATTCTGCCTGCGCATTGCCTGGGTCATCGCAGCCTGACGTTCGTTTCTGATTCGGCATCATCAGATACGACATCGGCAGCAGCGTGGTGCTGCATGGCCGCACTACCTCGTCGCGTGCCCCTTCTTCCTTCAGTGTGTAAGGAAACCATCAGACAACTTAATGTTATCCTGGGGGAAATCTTGTGTCCGTCCGTTCTTCTGTCTGTGCACAATCCGTATTCTTTTCACAAAAAAAAAATCCCCAAAAAAAATCCCCAAACAAACCACGAAACTTTTAGCACATTTTAGCAATAACAATACTGTACTCGTCAATATAAAATACAATACGATGTAATTTGGATTTTACAGCGTCTAAATACTGTATGAAACACTTTCACACTGCACACACACAAACACGCAGGCCAGCCTCAACTTCCAAAGAGGGGGGGGGGGGGGGGGCTGCTCCAACCCACACAGCAAGTGCGAGGTGCCCCCGTGTTCGAGTTCCCAAATACCGCCACCCTGACCCCTTATTCAGAACGTCCATCTCCTGACAGACTTCACAATTCACCATTTGCACATGAACTTTACCAATCACGCCTATCTGTCGTATACCTATATCTAACCATGCATCTCACCTCCCACGCGACAATCGAGTGTCTTAATTAAAGCATGGCTCGTCTATCCGTTTGTGCCTGTGGTGTAATCTGGCTGCTACTGGCCCGGAATGGCATTCCTCTGTGGTGGACAGAACGCATACACAAACGTATCGAAAAGCAAAGGCCCTCAATGGCTCAACTTCACCCAGAACAGTCTAAAGCAAAACAGATTGTACCAACTACCCCCACGTGTACACCTGCATATATTCTCTTAGCTCCGATCGGCCCCACCGTAATATAGTCAATTCGTTATCTCTACCTTCACAACATTGAAACATTTTTACTAATTACATCACGAGCAAATACATTTGCCTCACTTATGATTAACATCGCCATAATTTCACTTGTATTATTACATTTAGCCCACACCCGATGTAACTCCTCGCATGCCACACTTACAATCATTACTCATTATCACCCTCATCTCTTTGGAATAGATAATGATAAAGGGGGCGGACGGTATGATGCAGCGATTATTTTACAAGAGAAAGAACTATTGAAATGATAATCCAAATCAATCCCAAAATGAGTCCACAGATGTTGAGATTCCGAGCAGTCATAGAGCAGTGTCTGGCGTGCTCCATGTCTCCTTTCAACACCTTGTCTCGGACCTGCGTACAATAAACAACGAGCACATTGATGTTACTCTGTGTCCTGTATCGTCACGTTATCACTGTAAAGTCACGTATATGAACCTATCGACGTGACTTTACCGAAAGACCCAAAGAATATGAATTCCTGCAGTCGCGAAAGCTTTAAGTCAAGATTTAAAGTTCAAGTATGCATGATTTTGTCATTTCGTTATTTTCGTTTCTAGGTTTGGTAATAAAAGCAGTGTAATATCGTGATGTCAGCAGAACTGTACTCTTAAAATGTTTTTTGTCTGCAATAAAAATCAATTGGGGCTGGTACAAGGTTGTTTAAATGAGCAAAATGCCGATGTCAATGCGATTTTGGTTAAGTGTATGCGGCATACACCTTGAAATTATGAGCAACCGCTTTCCCTGATTAAGTCGGAAGATAGCAAACATATCATGGGGTCAAATTTATTGGTGCTGTTGCATAACTGCACATTAAAAGAACAGCGAGCTATAATTTGCTTGTTGTCCTCTAAAAATGAAATGGATCGAAGCATAAAAACTGTAAAATGGTGAAAACGTTATGAATAATAGGAATATTTAAAACTTGCTTTTACTGTACATAGGAATCTGGCCAAAAGGCACAAAAACGCGAATCCAGGGAGCTCAATGGCTTCTATTAACACTGTTGGCACCAGTGCCGGATTATCCGAGTAGTAAAAGTATCATATGTTACGGGCCCCGCACTTTCAAGGGCCCCGCGCTAAATGCTTTAAAGTTATCAATTCCGGTTCAGTTATTCTGCACTTGCTCTATTACTATAGTACTATACCGCCTTCAACTTTTATGAACGACTGGGTGTTTAAGTTTAGCAATGTCGTATTATCTGGCTGTATGGCAAATACAAAAAAAATACTTTACTATGCAAGTTACAAATTTGGGTTTTAATATTTGTGTTTTTTTGTTATTTAGGGCCCCTTTATAACATATGCTACAGGCGTCGCACTAGCTTAATTCGGCACTGGTTGGCACCCAATGGGCACAGATGTCAAATCAGAATATTTATTTATACTAGAGGAATCCGATGAGCTATAAAGCTCTCTTTCACAGATGTCTTTTTCACAAAAATAATCTTGTGGATTATTGAATCAACACTTCCCACACTTGTCCCTCGCCCTGCTGCTGTACAGAATGCCTACTCTCGTCCAAATTCAACCTCTTAACACATTGCAACGGTCGCTGGAGTGGAAGTATCAAGCTCATATCGTCATCACAAACCATCACAGCTTCACTCACAGTCTCCGGTAACATATATACACCTTGGCAATAGGAACATTGCTCAGCAGCCTTCATAGATTTGCCATTTGATACCATTCGTCATCACATCCTCAGAACCAGGTTACTCGATTATGACCTTCGTGACAAAGAAACTGGTTGGTTCGAAAATTACATACAGGTAGATTATTGGTAAATTGCCCACTGGAATTAGAACCTCTGCAAGCTCAGCTTCCAAGCGCAATGCGTTTCCCAGCACAGTGCACACGAACTTGGATGATCACATCCCGTGTGAAGCTGATTTCTTCTATGGTTATAAGGATTGTTGTATACGGCCCTTTTTCCACAATTAATATCCGTAAGAATATCTACGGATGCATACACCTAGATTTCTTTTTCCTTTCTTTCGTGACAAACAATATATATTTTTAATAATGAATCAAACCCATAAGCCAGAAACACGAAAAACCAGATGTCGGTCATAAACAGACCATTAAGAAATAAAGAAATAATAAAACTCTCGAGGCGAGGATGTAACAGCTATCGGCGAAAATCTCCAGAGGAACAAGAGTTTGATGGGCCCCTTAGGAAAGGTCCCCCCCGAGGTCAGAACACCAAGAGAGCAGACACCAGACGCCAACAGGGTAAATCGTATACATATTCTTTTCCTTATTTTCCAGTAAAACAACAACAAAAAAATTAAAAGGCAACAACAAGAATAAGATAAAAGTAGCGAGCCTAACGCTCACTCCAATTAAGAACAGGCCACCAGACACATCAGTGAATTATTATACAATGATTAATTCGCTATCAAATGATTTTCACCTTTAATACTTTTACTGTTAAAACAAAGCTTGGAGACAAAATACCGAGTCACATCAAAGGTTATCGAGAAGGAATGAGGCGAACGGGCAAACTTACGAAAGAGTTTAAACAATATCCCAAGCAACCCCGACCATCTTTGTCTCTCTCACAGCGCGGAGAAGCAGGAATTACACCTTATCACAAGGGGCCATCTGGAAAAGCCAGCCGTGTTTGATGAGGAGACACACCCCACCCCACACACGGCAACCAGACAAACAAGTTTTAAAGAAATTGCAAAATAACATTAACAATAATGTGTTAACCTTAAACGATATTCCATTATAGAACCTTACAGAACCAAGGGATATGGATTCCAACAATCTGGAAACGGACCTCTTAAACTCAGGATGAAAATTATTTTTCTTTTTAATAATTCCATCATAACATTTCGAACCTCGGTAAACCGAGAGGTGTCGGGAGGACGTAGTTACAACACGAGTCGTGGCGAACATGGGACCAAATGGTATTTGAGAAATAAGTCGAAAGTATAAAGAAAGAGGTGCTCCCGGCCACCTTTGTCTTTCCCTGCAGAACGTGATAAAATGCATACGCTCGGAAGAGCATCTTCACTTGGAAATAAATCAAATACTATGAATCACAAGCAGGATCATAACTGTGTATGATAAGATACCAACTGTGATGTGAAATGTTAAACTTAAAAAAAAATCTTAACCATTTCTTTGTGCGTCGGAACGCGTACGGAAAAGGGGGGGGGGAACCCGCCCCTCTCTCTGGGTGGAGGGATTAGACAACCAGACGCCACCAAGATGAATCGAGGTGTCTGTTGTCTTGATGTTTATGGCTTGAGGAAAGACCCCAACAGAGCCATGTCATAAATGACACACACACAAACATACACACTGACACACGAACCCCCCCCACCACCGACATACGATCAGATCAAAGATAGCTCCACCTCGTGAGGGGGAGCCGAGAAGGGGAGAGATTTTTGGCATAAAAGGAGCCGTTTCAGCATTGAAATCAACTCATCAGCCCTCGGGGGCAGCTCAACAGAAGAAGACTCATCTCAACTCAGCTCAACAGAAGAAGACTCATCTCAACTCAGCTCAACAGAAGAAGACTCATCTCTACTCATCTCAGCAGAAGACCCGCTCAACTCATCTCAGCAGGAGAGCAGCCATCACCGACGCCGGAAACGTCTCTACAACTCGCCGAATTGGCGAGTGTCGCCAATTGGCGATCCCGCTGTCGCTGTTAGCGGCCAGCGCCACCACGAGCGAATCGTGAGCCTGCAATCTACAACCGCCGACGACGGAGCACCAGCGCGCCGCTGCGGGCGTGCTTCTAACGCCGTCTACCAGACGGTCATCTCAGCTACAACAACGCATCTACTCGTTCACCAACGTCCGTCGAGTCCGAACCAACTACTGAAAGAAGAATCAACTGATACGTATGATACACTGCCCCCCACTACACACAAACCAGACGTCTGCTTGACGCAAAGAATCGATTCTGAACATTGGCCTACTCTTACACCACTCACACCATTCAACACACACACACACGGGTCATTAACAAGCCTAAAAACCTCAAGCCATTGAACCATCCGTGATTGTGGAAACATCGCAACGACCGAGTGAATAATCCATCGTTTTTAAGAGTGTTCATGATTTTTCTCTGTAATATTGTGCTGGGGCTGTACTTCTAACCGCATAAATTACCAACTGACCCATTAACAAGGATTAATTCTTGGCTCCTCACCACGGAGCGCCGCTCGCGGGGATAGAGAGCTTGTTCAACCGGTTCCCTGTCAGGGGTCTGGCCACAATCAATTAAAAGATTGGCCCGAGATAAGGATCTCAAAGGGAAACATCGCCACCCATTGAGTCGCGTTGAGAAGTTGATTAGGAATACTTGAGTCGTTCGTTAATATTTGTCTTTCTGCATAATCTTGCTGGTATCCACGAATGAAATAACGAATTGAAACGCATAGTTGTGCCTCCAAGAATAATACTGGTTGTAGTGCCCTGTCAACGAGTAGCGTTGCATAATAATCAGTCATCCTATTGTGAACAACGTGACAATAATTGCATTAAGGGCCGCGCATGATCAATGACCGAATGCTGTGTTGTGTGACAATTCAAGTAACGAAGCATTGTGGCCATCGAGTGGTGTTGATAAGGCAATTAGAAGTATTACAGTCGAACGCTTTAAATTCATAATCGTTATGAATCAATGAACGAACATCAGCGTGGTACTGTGCTGACGGTTTCAAGCATAATAACTTCGCATACCAGAATGTATTAAGGATTGGATACGAATCAAAGACCAAGTGCCGTGTTGTGTAACAATTCAAGCATACGAGTTTGCATATTATAAAGTTAAGGTTTGGTAGAATAGTTCGCATGTTTTTAATCTCTCTCTCTACAACCGATCGATTGCGTTACGCGTCGGGAATTAACCACAGGTGCCGCTATCGAGGTGAAACAACGCAATCGTGATGGTATCATGTTAACGCTGTGTTGAAATTCCAAAATCCCGAGATTGAGTTTTCATATTATCCAAAAATTAAAGTTAGCTAGAAATAAAATTGATTAAAGCAGAAGGTTTGTGTGTGATTCTTCCTGAAATTCTGCATAATATTGTTCTGCGTATGAGATCCGAATCCTGGGGACCTATCATAAGCACACTATCACCACATGATCCATAACACACATAATCCGTAATGTTCAATCGAGAGTAATCGTATCCTTATCGATAATACGGAATTGAAGAGCAGAGTCGAATCGTCTCTCTCTCATTCACGCTCACAACGCCTGCGTCACTGCATACGATTAATTGCGTTATTCCAATTCATAACACAATCCTCGTCACCGAGGCTCGACCTGATAATCCATAACGACCTGCGTTATCATAACCACGCCCACTCGCATAAATTAATACGATTATCTCTCGAATCAGCATAATTTATGCACATAATTACACTAATTAACATAATTTCGGATAAATTATGCAAATCTCAAATTTCATTTAATTTTCATTATTTTCATCAATTTTCATAACACCTATATATACAACATAATGGGGGCTCGTCCGGGATCCCTCGCAGACAGTTTATGCTTGAATTAAGGAACAAATCACTGTTGTATTAACCAAGGTTTTATGATCTAACGTTACCCTGTGACTGTAACGGGTGTAAAGCAAACAAAAAAACGCACTCTGAAGGGAAATTCCAGAGTAGCAGGGTATAACAAAGACAATTGAAGTAAGATTATTTGCTCGAGTCAAACTGACCATATCCTGTGATACAATTGTTTATACGTGCTCCGAAGGGAATTTCCAGAGTAACTCACACCACAAATGAAATGTCAGAATTAAGATACACTCTTAAGTCTATCAAGTACACCACATAAGATAGATGGAACTGGATCTGCAACATTCGGAGGCTGACACCCCAACGCATACCACTGACTCAGAGGGGACCTCCCCGGAGGAGATGGAATCTATGGAAAAACAATATCGTGAACTTGTGTTAAAACGTACTGGCCGGACTGCTAAAGAGCAGGCAGAACAGAGAGACATATGGGAGGGGACACATATCGAGGACATTAAGGAACATCGGAAAAAACTTCTTAAGGACGTGATAAAATGTAACAAATCCGAACGTGATGTAAAAATTGCGGAAATAGCAAGGTTAGACTCACACCTCCTCATACAGACAGACAGGGAAAGGGCATGGAATGCGGAAAAATTTGAAAGGGAAAGAGAGGATAAACTGTCCCTGATGGGGGAGGTAGAACGTCTGCGCGCCCTCGTGGGAGAGAAAGGATCAGAGCTAGCTGCACCAGTGAAACCCCCAGACGTTGATACACATAACACATACGGGAGTAGCAGTTTACCATACTCCGAGCCACGCATACGTAGCCCAGGGCCAAAATCCCCAAAAAGTATGACCACCAAAGAAAGCAATTTTGACAGAGAGACCCCCTTGCAATTCGAGAGGAAGGAAGGAGAAACAGTGATAAAAGTGGAAAAACATGCGGATGACAACCTCGAAATTAGAGAGACACAAAAACCCAAAATAAAATTGCCAGGATACGCAGTACGAATAGCACCAAAAGGGGCGGAACCAGGGCGGAATGAGCGGCACAGAGACAATTCGCCAGAAAGACGCACGCTACGCAAAAATGACCGATATGATGCAGAGGACAGAGACAGCTCACTAGGAAGACACATTCCACACAAGCCCGACCGACGTAGAACCCACAGCTCTCCAGAGAGACGCACAGCACGCAAAAGTGACCAGTCAGACACAGACGGCTCACCAGAGGAACGCACCTCACGTAAACATGACCGACATGACACGGGTACCAGGGAGAGCTCCCCAGAGAGACGCGCAACACATAAAACTCACCAACGCAAAACAACCCGCACCACAGAAAACAGACACAGGAATCCTGACAGTCACAAAATACGAGACCAACGTAAACGCAGCATATCACCCAGCAGACACCACGCACGTGATAGACGGTATGAAGGTCAAGGACAAAGACACTCACCACATAGACACAGCTCAAGGAGATCACACACACCAACCCACAAGCACGATTCACCAGACCCACATAGGAAAAACAAAGGACACAAGCCACGGGACAGATACAAATCCTCGGACAGAGGGAGACAACGGCACAAGCAAGGGAAACATGATAGCAGTGATAGCGAAGACAGGGACAGCTCGAGTGAGCACTCCTCAGGAACAGACACCACTGACGACGAACAACACACTTTTAACAGTAAAACCCTCAAACGAATGGATAAAGCGCTCGTAAGAATTCCCTACTTCGATCCACACAACAAGAACAGGGATATCCACACTCACATAGCCACAGTAGGACAGGAGGCTAAGATCCGGGGTCTGTGTAAATCAGCAGAAAAAGCATGTCTATTATCAAGAAGCTTGCATGAGTCAGCCAGACCATGGGTAACCTCCCTGCCCAACAGGGTCAGGAGCGATTTCAAGCAATTAAGCCGAGTAGTAGTTAAGAGATTCGGGGAATACTCCACACTGTCTGAAGGATTGAATGCGGCAAAATTGATGACTCAGCGTGCAGACGAGGACCCACGAGATTATCTCCTACGCCTCAAGAGAGCGTATTACGCAGGCGACGTGGATAACGCCCAAGAAGAAGGGAAAATATTAAAAGTTATGTTCTTCCAATCCCTAAGACCTGAAATAATGAAGATAGTAGGAATGATGTTGGATCCCGAGACTGCCTCCCTGCGCCAGATTGAAAGCAAGGCTCACACGGCCTGGGTGAACGGCCGAAGAACCACAAACATAGCCAAAACACACATCATCACCAAAGATAGAGAACGACTTGATCTGGAGGGAAGCGAATGTCCAAGAAATAATAACCACACCATACGGGACGGACATGAAACCCCCCTGGAGAGGGCGCCTAATCTACTACAATCAACACCCATCAACGGCATGCTGAATAACACTCCACGTGGGGAGAGGAGCGAGGCAAGAGGGACTTGGCATCCACGGACAACACAGCCATGGAATACCGAAGGAGGCGGATCCTGGAACTATGGAGGAGGAAGAGCGAGTGATGAATCATACCTACACCACGGGGGCCGACGCCCACCGAATCAAACACCATATCGTCTTCCACTGCCGCCCCCACTAGCAATCGAGCATAGACCACAGTCAGCCAACAGGAGTCGATACGCCCACCACATTCGGATGGAAAGAGGACACCAAGAGAGTATGAAGACTCCGATACCAACACCAAAGACAAGAAGACCAACAGAACACACACAGGAAGAGGGCACACCCAACGCCAGAGTAGACCAAGTAAACATAGGAAACTCAAGAAACACCAAAGCAGTCGCCGAGGTGATACCAGAGGGCAAAGGGTACCATCTGGGAGAATTAATTCCCGCAGGACCGGTCGGGCGAGTCCACATGGAAGTAACACTGCAAGACACACTGACCAGCCAGGGCCTTTGTGATACTGGAGCAGAAATATCAATGATATCCAGGGACCTATTTGACGAACTCCAGACTGCCCTCCAGAGGAAGAATGAAGCACTGCAGATGATGCCAAGCAAGCTTACCTACTCTGGATGCGAAGGGACCCACATGCGACCATTGGGCAAGGTCACGATGAAGCTCAAGTTCAACGAAGTCAACATGAGCCATCCATTATATGTCGTACAGAACCCAGGAAAAGAGCTGATCATTGGGATCGAACTACTGAACCGCCTTAAACCCATTATGAACCTTGAATCCCGACAAATATGGGCACAGTCAATGCCGGAGCAGCATAGGGATCCAGAAGAGGAAGAAGTCGCAGAAGACTCTATGGGAATTCAAGTAACCACACCAGAACTCAACGACCTATCACAGACAACCAAGAACAGAACCAAGCGTCCAGCAGGAATACGAACCACTCAACTGCTGACAAATAAACCGGGAAAGGACCTTGAGGAAGCAGACCTACGACCAGCAGTTCCCAAGGACTGTCCCCTCGTGGGGTATATGCCGCCTACTAGTGGTCAAACCGGTGAACAGGGGACTTTTGAAGGACAACACAAGATCAAGAGCATATTCCACTCTAGTGAAGCAAAGGCAATTCAACCGATAATAACGCAAGGGAAACAACCCACTGAGCTACCAGGAATCACAGAAGCTTTAGACCCAGACCAAGGAAAAAGAGTCCCTACAATAGAAGAACAAATTGAACAACAAATTGAAGCGGCAGACGCCCTTGAAAATGACACTCAACGAAACGAGCTCCGACAACTGCTCCAGAAATACCACTTCCTGTTCTCAGAAGACTCCTATGACTGCGGCAAAACCGACCTACATGTGGTATCTATTCCCACCCTGGAGGGAGCACCAGCGGTATACGTGAAACAATACAAGATTCCACTGGCCGCCTACGAATCAATCCAAGAAACCTTGGGAAACCTACTCAAGAAGAATATAATTCGGGAATGCAATTCAACCTACAACTCACCAATTTGGCCTGTGCTAAAACCCACTGGCAAGTGGCGACTCACCATCGACTATAGGCAACTCAACAAAACGGTTCCCCTATCTCGATGGCCCATGGCGGAAATCGACCAAAGTCTCAACCAAATAAAAGGCGCAAAAATACTCACCACAATGGACCTATCAAATGGTTTCTGGACCATGCCCGTGAAAGAAGCAGATCAATACAAGTTGGCCTTCACATTCAACGGGATACAGTATACTTGGAACCGATGCCCATTTGGATACTCAAATTCACCTGCAGACTTCAACATATTCCTACACAAGGCAATGGGTGACGCAAAAGAGCGAGGCACCATCGTCTATGTCGACGACATTCTGGTCAAGGACTCCTCATGGGAAGAACACCTCGAGAACCTCCAGCATACCCTCGAGCAGTTAAAAGAAGCAGGTGCAAAGATATCAATACAAAAGGGACAGTGGGCACGTAAAAGGGTGGACTACCTCGGGTTCCAGATCGGCACTGAAGGAATGTTACCCCAAACGAAAAGACTTGAAGCCCTCCACGCGCTCAAACCGCCCACCACAGTCACGACCCTTCGGAGCTTCTTAGGGATCTGCAACTACCTTCGACAGTTCGTGGACGACTACGCAGGGATCGCTCGACCCCTAGTCAAACTACTTCAAAAAGACGAACCATGGGAATGGGGACAAGAACAGGAATCTGCAGTGGAGGAATTAAAACGACAGATCACAGGGGCATCCTGCCTGGCATACCCAGAGAAAGGAAAAGAATACTACCTAGAGACCGCATACTCAGATCATAGTATCAGCTCGGTACTATACCAGATACAGGAAGCAGGGAAACGAATTATTGCCTATGCCAGCAAGGCCCTCCGTGGGGTAGAGACAAAGTTCTCTGAGTGCGAGAAGGCAATATTCGGAAACATCTGGGCTATACAGCATTTTCGGAACTTGTTGAACGGAGAGAAAATCATCCTAGAAACGAATCATGAATCCTTGGCGTACCTCAATAGTAAGAAGATTCGAGAGGGCCGCGTAACCAGCAGCCGGATAGCCAATTGGGCACTGACACTCCAAGGCCTACCAATCACAGTAAAATACGCAAAAAACAAGAAAAGTCCAATGGCCAAAGGTCTGGCTGACTTACATGATTGCACGCTAGACAGCATAGAAGCATGTGCCGCAAAGGTACCTCCGGAGGACAACAGGCACCTGCCCTTCAAAAAGGAAACATGCGCCGACCTACCAATGGTGTACATCGATGGATGCTCCAAAATGAAGGAAAACAAACTCCACGCCGGATCAGGAATCGTTTGGGAAACTGGCCCACTCACAGGGATTCAAGCGGGATTTCAACTGGGACCAAAGTCCAACCAGTATGCAGAATTGGCCGGGGTACACATCGCCGTCCAAATGGCATCCAATAACCAAATACAGACCATGGTGGTGTGTACTGATTCCAACTACGTACAGCACAGCTTCCTACACCACTTGCCCATATGGAAAAAGAACGGTATGAAGAACCATAGAAATAAACCAATTCACCATCAAGAACTGTTCGAGGCCATAGATACGATGGTTCAGAACAAAGATATGAAGATATTTTGGAAGAAGGTCAAAGGGCACTCCAAGATACCTGGCCAAGAGAAAACTGGAAATGACCAGGCAGACGCCCTCGCAAAAGCGGGAAGCCTGGAAGGCACACCGTGGAAGCTAGAAAGCCAAACTGAAAGAGACGGACAACAAGAGTCGACGAACCAAGACCCTGCCGTAATAAGACTGATCACCAGGAGTGGGAAGAACCCTGCAGAAGCTGGAGTCAGAGCCCAATTGAACAGTGCACAGCCTTCCGAAGATCTAGTCAGAATGCAACAAGAGGACGAAACCCTAAAAACACTGGCTGATCATATCCAGGATCCAACAGGAAAACCAATCACTACCGACAACCTGAACGACAACAAAGAGCTCGAGATCATGCATAACCAAATCAAAAGGTTCTCAATACGAAAAGGGCTACTGGTATATACGAACGAAAAAGACGGTAAAACTAGATGGGTAGTCCCCTCACAATATCGAGAGATAATGTTACAACATGCCCACGATGAACCATGCAGCGGCCACCGATGCGAGATGAACACAGGACAGATGCTGCGGCAGGTGGCCTACTGGCCTAAAATGAGTCAAGACATACACGAACATGTGTCCAACTGCCTCGTGTGTTGCAAGTACCAGCCAACGACCTCACAGCATAGGGCACCCCTACAGAAGAGGGGAACAGACTATCCATGGTCCAACCTACAAATCGACTGGATAGGACCTGTCAACCGATCAACCAAAGGAAATAAATACATGCTGACTGTGACCTGTGCATTCTCCAAATGGATAGAGTGTTTACCAGCACCCAACAACACCGCGGAAACGACAGCTATCCTACTGATCAACCAAATATTCAGTAGGTGGGGCCTACCGTCAACAATCGATTCAGACAAAGGAAGCCACTTCACAGCCGAAGTCATCACAGAAGTGTGGAAGATGTTGGGAGTAAGAAGACAACTACACATCGCCTACCATCCACAATCCTCAGGACAGGTGGAAAGAGCCAACAGGACCATCGTGAGCCTCCTAAAGAAATATGTGTCCACCACGGGACGCGACTGGGATACGAAACTACCCCTAGTATTGATGGCCATGCGAGCCACACCCAACCGAGCTACAGGCAGGACACCATTCGAGATCATGACAGGGAGACTAATGACCCTCCCAGTGCACCTGCTGTATGTCCCACTGGAGGACGAGACCCCGACGGCAATGACGCCCACTGAATACCTAGCAGGACTGAACAGTCACCTACAGAGCACATTCGCTATGGTCAGAGACCAGTTGCAAGCAGAGGCTCAGGGGAGCAAAGCATACTATGACCAAAAAGCCAGCCACGCAGAATACCAGCTCGGAGACCAGGTGTTGTACCTCAATTACGAAAAAAGAAAGCAGAAGTGCAGGAAATTGCTCCCTTCCTGGACAGGACCACACGAGATTGTTGACAAAATGTCCCCAGTTGTATATCAGCTAAAAATCACAAAGACAGGAAGAGAGCAGCAGTACAAGTGGGTACACATCAATCAAATCAAACCGTACCCTGTGCTGGCAGAACAAGAGGAAGAATAAAGAGACAAAAAGGGGGGGGGCTAAACTAAATTGGGCATGTGACACTAAGATAATGTATAAATGTTTTCCAGGGAATGGCAGCCCTCCTGCTCGCGCTCCTGCTGACTTGCTTTGCCAAGCTAGAGGGCAGCCAAGATCTACTCAAGCCAGGACCAGAATCCGGGGTGATGCTGAGAGACTCTTCCGGCTTCCTAGTGACCGAAACGAAAATAATAACCCAACAAGTCTATGTTTCCTTGGAACCTGCCGTAGTAATAGAGAAACACTTCGGGAAGATACCACCCTCAGCTACCAGAGCAACCCTAATCTGGTACCACGACTTCCTAAGATACAGTGAACTGAATATCGGAACGATCCTGAAACAATTACAAAGAACCATGATACTTCCCCCCACCACTCCCAACACCACACGCCCCAAGAGATCGATTGGCCTGGGAGGGGCCTTCGGAATACTCTCCGGCCTTAGCTCCTTAATCACACTAGGAGTATCCATATCCAACGCCGTGAAGATTGGACACCTCACACAAGGCGTCGAGAATTTACAGCTTGATATGCGTCAAATCCGTCGGCAAATCCAACACCAACAAAATAATCTGATCGAAATGGGATCTACCCTCAGAGACACCGTAGTTCTTGTTAACCTGCATTCCGCCATGATTAACTTAACAATTCAAGAATTGGGTTTCGCAATCCAAGACCTATACGAAGAAGAGAGTACTCGACAGCCAATTCAATGGTTGATCCAAGACTGGTTGCGTAGCACCAGCGGCAGCATCAGTGATCTTATCCAAGGACAAATCCCTTCATATCTGGTAACTCCAACACTGATAAAGAATGTGCTGCAAGCAGCATCCCCAGAAACGATCAGTCCAACACAAGTACAAATTGCCTTTAACATGGGTACAGCCACACCCATACATGTAGACCCCCAAACCAGACAGCTGGCATTCCTGTTAAATTTACCACTGGTTAAACCCGGAAATGTATTTCGATTGCGGACAGTATTGAACGTGGGTACATGGAATAATGACATTTACTCCAAGATGGAAACCCCCTTAGTGGTGGCCTACCAGGAAGAGGGTCCCCTTAAGTACCTAGTGCCTGACCTCAACATGTGCCAAATAATGAAAGAAGTTCACTGGCTCTGCCCAGGGGAGCCATTCCTAATCAATACAGCAGAAATAATGTGCGGTCTGTCAAACCTAAGCTCTAGGGAAACGTGCAAGTTCAAGTTAAGTAAACCCAAAGAAAAAACCGAAACAGTAGCCATGATAGCCGATGCTCAGTGGTTAGTAAGCACCCCTCTAGATACGGCAACCGTTTCCACGGACCAACACTCCGTAACCATGAAAGTGCCGATTCCAAGCCACGTCGCACTGGTCACAGTACCAAGAGGAACATTCGTACACATAGGGGACAAGGTATTATATAATTTAGACAAAAGCCTACATCAAGCAGAAGTAGAAGTAGTAAACACCCTCCGAAGCCACAAGTTTGAAATAAGCAGCACTCTGTCTAACCTGTTGAACAGCAAGGAATTTCATACAGTGAAATTAGCCATCAGCGAGTCAGAGATCAACGTAACAGACCTAACTTGGGCAACCGAAGAAGCCGGATATCAGAGGAATAAACAGATGGGACTGGGAATCACAGGGGCAACAGGAATGATCGTATTAACCATGGCTATCCTAACCCTAGCATACCATATGGCCAAAATGAATGCCGAACTTAAGAGACTAATCGCGGGTACAAGCCACATACCATTCGAGCCCAGGAACAAAGGTAGAGTCAAGGCCTGACAACCCCCCCCCCCAAAAAAAAAAAAAAAAAAAAAAAAAAAAAAAATTCAATCAACAACTTCCCCTATAACATGTAGTCAGTAGAATACTTCCTTATCTTATAAAAAAAAAAAAAAAATCCCTTATTAATTCAAATATAATCATGCTAAGTTGTGACACGTACGCGCGCGTTGTAAGGAAAAATCACAAACTTGATGGTTCATGGTGGAAAAAGGCATTTTTCTTTAATATTAAAAATAACCGGTGGCAGACCACCGATCATTTTTAAAAGGGCGGAATGTTGTATACGGCCCTTTTTCCACAATTAATATCCGTAAGAATATCTACGGATGCATACACCTAGATTTCTTTTTCCTTTCTTTCGTGACAAACAATATATATTTTTAATAATGAATCAAACCCATAAGCCAGAAACACGAAAAACCAGATGTCGGTCATAAACAGACCATTAAGAAATAAAGAAATAATAAAACTCTCGAGGCGAGGATGTAACAGCTATCGGCGAAAATCTCCAGAGGAACAAGAGTTTGATGGGCCCCTTAGGAAAGGTCCCCCCCGAGGTCAGAACACCAAGAGAGCAGACACCAGACGCCAACAGGGTAAATCGTATACATATTCTTTTCCTTATTTTCCAGTAAAACAACAACAAAAAAATTAAAAGGCAACAACAAGAATAAGATAAAAGTAGCGAGCCTAACGCTCACTCCAATTAAGAACAGGCCACCAGACACATCAGTGAATTATTATACAATGATTAATTCGCTATCAAATGATTTTCACCTTTAATACTTTTACTGTTAAAACAAAGCTTGGAGACAAAATACCGAGTCACATCAAAGGTTATCGAGAAGGAATGAGGCGAACGGGCAAACTTACGAAAGAGTTTAAACAATATCCCAAGCAACCCCGACCATCTTTGTCTCTCTCACAGCGCGGAGAAGCAGGAATTACACCTTATCACAAGGGGCCATCTGGAAAAGCCAGCCGTGTTTGATGAGGAGACACACCCCACCCCACACACGGCAACCAGACAAACAAGTTTTAAAGAAATTGCAAAATAACATTAACAATAATGTGTTAACCTTAAACGATATTCCATTATAGAACCTTACAGAACCAAGGGATATGGATTCCAACAATCTGGAAACGGACCTCTTAAACTCAGGATGAAAATTATTTTTCTTTTTAATAATTCCATCATAACATTTCGAACCTCGGTAAACCGAGAGGTGTCGGGAGGACGTAGTTACAACACGAGTCGTGGCGAACATGGGACCAAATGGTATTTGAGAAATAAGTCGAAAGTATAAAGAAAGAGGTGCTCCCGGCCACCTTTGTCTTTCCCTGCAGAACGTGATAAAATGCATACGCTCGGAAGAGCATCTTCACTTGGAAATAAATCAAATACTATGAATCACAAGCAGGATCATAACTGTGTATGATAAGATACCAACTGTGATGTGAAATGTTAAACTTAAAAAAAAAATCTTAACCATTTCTTTGTGCGTCGGAACGCGTACGGAAAAGGGGGGGGGGAACCCGCCCCTCTCTCTGGGTGGAGGGATTAGACAACCAGACGCCACCAAGATGAATCGAGGTGTCTGTTGTCTTGATGTTTATGGCTTGAGGAAAGACCCCAACAGAGCCATGTCATAAATGACACACACACAAACATACACACTGACACACGAACCCCCCCCCACCACCGACATACGATCAGATCAAAGATAGCTCCACCTCGTGAGGGGGAGCCGAGAAGGGGAGAGATTTTTGGCATAAAAGGAGCCGTTTCAGCATTGAAATCAACTCATCAGCCCTCGGGGGCAGCTCAACAGAAGAAGACTCATCTCAACTCAGCTCAACAGAAGAAGACTCATCTCAACTCAGCTCAACAGAAGAAGACTCATCTCTACTCATCTCAGCAGAAGACCCGCTCAACTCATCTCAGCAGGAGAGCAGCCATCACCGACGCCGGAAACGTCTCTACAACTCGCCGAATTGGCGAGTGTCGCCAATTGGCGATCCGCTGTCGCTGTTAGCGGCCAGCGCCACCACGAGCGAATCGTGAGCCTGCAATCTACAACCGCCGACGACGGAGCACCAGCGCGCCGCTGCGGGCGTGCTTCTAACGCCGTCTACCAGACGGTCATCTCAGCTACAACAACGCATCTACTCGTTCACCAACGTCCGTCGAGTCCGAACCAACTACTGAAAGAAGAATCAACTGATACGTATGATACACTGCCCCCCACTACACACAAACCAGACGTCTGCTTGACGCAAAGAATCGATTCTGAACATTGGCCTACTCTTACACCACTCACACCATTCAACACACACACACGGGTCATTAACAAGCCTAAAAACCTCAAGCCATTGAACCATCCGTGATTGTGGAAACATCGCAACGACCGAGTGAATAATCCATCGTTTTTAAGAGTGTTCATGATTTTTCTCTGTAATATTGTGCTGGGGCTGTACTTCTAACCGCATAAATTACCAACTGACCCATTAACAAGGATTAATTCTTGGCTCCTCACCACGGAGCGCCGCTCGCGGGGATAGAGAGCTTGTTCAACCGGTTCCCTGTCAGGGGTCTGGCCACAATCAATTAAAAGATTGGCCCGAGATAAGGATCTCAAAGGGAAACATCGCCACCCATTGAGTCGCGTTGAGAAGTTGATTAGGAATACTTGAGTCGTTCGTTAATATTTGTCTTTCTGCATAATCTTGCTGGTATCCACGAATGAAATAACGAATTGAAACGCATAGTTGTGCCTCCAAGAATAATACTGGTTGTAGTGCCCTGTCAACGAGTAGCGTTGCATAATAATCAGTCATCCTATTGTGAACAACGTGACAATAATTGCATTAAGGGCCGCGCATGATCAATGACCGAATGCTGTGTTGTGTGACAATTCAAGTAACGAAGCATTGTGGCCATCGAGTGGTGTTGATAAGGCAATTAGAAGTATTACAGTCGAACGCTTTAAATTCATAATCGTTATGAATCAATGAACGAACATCAGCGTGGTACTGTGCTGACGGTTTCAAGCATAATAACTTCGCATACCAGAATGTATTAAGGATTGGATACGAATCAAAGACCAAGTGCCGTGTTGTGTAACAATTCAAGCATACGAGTTTGCATATTATAAAGTTAAGGTTTGGTAGAATAGTTCGCATGTTTTTAATCTCTCTCTCTACAACCGATCGATTGCGTTACGCGTCGGGAATTAACCACAGGTGCCGCTATCGAGGTGAAACAACGCAATCGTGATGGTATCATGTTAACGCTGTGTTGAAATTCCAAAATCCCGAGATTGAGTTTTCATATTATCCAAAAATTAAAGTTAGCTAGAAATAAAATTGATTAAAGCAGAAGGTTTGTGTGTGATTCTTCCTGAAATTCTGCATAATATTGTTCTGCGTATGAGATCCGAATCCTGGGGACCTATCATAAGCACACTATCACCACATGATCCATAACACACATAATCCGTAATGTTCAATCGAGAGTAATCGTATCCTTATCGATAATACGGAATTGAAGAGCAGAGTCGAATCGTCTCTCTCTCATTCACGCTCACAACGCCTGCGTCACTGCATACGATTAATTGCGTTATTCCAATTCATAACACAATCCTCGTCACCGAGGCTCGACCTGATAATCCATAACGACCTGCATTATCATAACCACGCCCACTCGCATAAATTAATACGATTATCTCTCGAATCAGCATAATTTATGTGCATAATTACATCAATTAACATAATTTCGGATAAATTATGCAAATCTCAAATTTCATTTAATTTTCATTATTTTCATCAATTTTCATAACACCTATATATACAACAGGATACATTACCTCAATTTTAAATGCACATGTAAGAGGCGTGTTTCCACTTGCAATGACCACTCAGATGTTTCCACACTTTACTGACATGACATATTCAAGATGGTCGATCTCAAAAATTGATTTTGCTCTAATGTGTACTAAACAATAATGGAAATATAAACTCACATAAAAAAAAGTCTGTAATACACAAGCAAGCTGGTATTTGGATCGTGACTTCAGTTTGTTGAAAAAGTGTCAGTTTACACCAAAGCTGTAAAACTAGGACTCGTATGGAGGGACATCTCGCGTTGCGGAAGTGCGAGAGGCGTTAGGTGCAAGAGAACGCGTCAGCCATGGTCACGCGAAGCGCGTGCACTCACCATGATGGAGAAAATCAGTGCTGGGATCCCAGTCGGAAAGAAACAACAGAGCATCGTGAACACGGACAAATACAGGTAGTCGGGCGGGCCGGGGTTGGTTACCACCATCTGAGGCTGCGAAAAGATGACTCCCTGATTTGGATGGGTGAAATAGACTTGCGGTTGTGTTGGGTTCGGGTATGGGGGGAGTGGGTATTGGTTGGTGATGGGCGGCTGCTGGGGTTGATAGTAGCCCGAGGCGGGACCCTGCTCTCTTTCTGTGGCTGGCGAAGACATGGCCTCTTGCTTGCCGTCCATGCCGCAAGTCTTGAGATGATAACCTATTCAAAGACAAGTTCCATTATTAATATACATACCCATATAACATAGAGATGCCAGGCTTACATAAAGGCGTGCATTTTAGCTGCGTTTCGGCTCTTGATTGGCCTGTAACACGACTCAGGTTAGGCCAGAGCCACTCAGTTGATTCCAAATGAGCGGCTCAGGCATGGGGCCGGCTCTGGCTCAACTCATGGAACTGTTGGGCGCAGCTGGGACCCTGCTCAGAGCTGATACAAGCCAAGGAAAGCACACAGTGTTTGCATTGTTTGTCCATTGGTACATCCTCTATCAAGTAGTGGATTGACCACGGCTGATTATGGTGATATACATCAGCATTGTAGGGCCTCAGACTATGGTAGTCATTATGGGCTGAGTTGACCCCAAGTGGGATTTAAACTGACAAGGTCATGAGAACCTGCTGCTCTACCAATCAGCTTACAAAACATCACATTATCATAAAACTCCCTCGACTGCATTGGAAAACATTGCAAACTCTTTCAAAACTGCAAAAAAAAGACCTCCCTTAAAAGAGATCTACTCGCGCTATTTCTGTAAACATGGCA